TGTTGGGAATGTCCGAAAATACTTGCATTTTGGCAAAGGGTAAAGATTGAGATAATGAAAATGACGCAGTTAGATTTACCTTTTACTCCCCTGTTTTTCTTGCTTGAAGGGTTCCCCCAGGATATACAGTTGAAGTCAGAATTATTAGCCAACTTTTTTAAAAATTTTTTCTTTTTTAAATATTTCCTAAATGATATTTGACAGAGCAAAGAAAATTTTCACAGTATGTCTGATAATATTTTTTCTTCTAGAAAAAGTCTTATTTGTTTTATTTCGGCTAGAATAAAAGCAGTTTTAAATTTTTTAAAAACTATTTTTGGGACAAAATTATTAGCCCCTTTAAGCTAATTTTTTTCTCTCGATAGTCTACAGAAACAAACCATCGGTATAGAATAACTTGCCTAATTACCCTAAACAGCCTAGTTCACCTTATAGTTAAGCTTTTAAATGTCACTTTAAGCTGTATAGAAGTGTCTTGAAAAATATCAAGTAAAATATTATTTACTGTCATCATGGTAAAGATAAAATAAATCTGTTATTAGAAATAAGTTTTTTAAAACTATTATGCTTAAAAATGTGCTGAAACAATCTTCTCTCCATAAAACAGAAATTGGGGAAAAAAAATAAACAGGGGCGCTAATAATTCAGGGGCGCTAATAATTCTGACTTCAACTGTATATATAATAAAAACCAGAGATATATACTACATATACTTTTACTAAGTGCAAAAAAGACCATAACAATAAATTGGATCCTCCAACAATAGTACAGTTGATAGAAAAACTTGAATCTATATATAGAATGGAGCGTATGATTGCTCAACTTCAATTGATACTGGATATTTTTTAAACAAAGATGGGCACCTGTTACTTTGTATCTGAACAGGACATAGTATTTCCAGCTCCTTTGAAACTGAAAATAATGTATGTTTTGTTTTTGTTTTGTTTTTTTACATCTAGGGTTACTTTTTACTCGTTTTCTTTTTCTTTTTTTATAATCGCTGCTGTCACTGAATGTTCTGTTCTGTAAAATGTTTAATGTATAAAAACAACGTAAAAAAAAACAGAAGTAATTACTGCTCTAAAATATATTCTTTTTAAATGTCTGGGTGAAAAAAATTCCCCCTTTTGAGCACAGTACATTTTATTTTGAGAAACATTTAAAATATTTTGGAGCACTAAGCATATTAGGCCTAATGAATTGTTGATTTTTTTCTGTCTTCATTTGCTTCAAAAACAGATTTTTTTACAATATAAAATGGCAGATATTGTTGTCCTTAAAAAAGGAACTTACCTTAACATAACCTAACATACCTTAAAAACAGTATTGCAGAAAATTTTGACGGTTTTAAAACCTTGACTTTTCTAAACCGCGGTATACCTTGAAAACAGTTATTGTACCACTAGGCAACCGCTATATCAATATTTTTGGTGCTGGAGCACATGACTACATAAAGGGCAAGTATTAGGGGTAGGGGTATAAAAGAGAATTGGCATAATTTAGGCCACTTGAAGTTTGGGCAGAGGAGCAATGGTTGTGCCACACTGAGCCTGGTTTCTCTCAGGGGATTTATTTTCTTCACTTTCATAAATTGGTGAAGTTTTGTTCCTCGTTGCCGTCACCTTTGGCTTGCTTGGTTTGGGACTTGTGGAGCTGCGTATCGCTAGATTTGCTCTTCAGTGTTTGGACTTTCAGTAGTGAAAATGAAACCACACTGAACTGAACTAAACTGAACTTCAACCCTGAATACAATTTCAATATACTAGAACAATTTACTGTTAAGCTACTTTGACACAATCTACATTGTAAAAGCGCTATAGAAATACAGATTAATCAAATTTAATTTCTATCCTATGAAATTACCCAACATGGGTGGAACTAAAAACGCAAATGTGTGTTGATCATCTGGTCAAGATAGGTGATCTTCCAGTGCACTTTTACAATACATTAAGGCGAAAAGAGAGCCATTTTGGCAGTTTGGTTTCAAGTAAATATCTGTTGTTGTACAAATGAGAAAGTTTTAAGTTCTGAAACTTTTCCAGTACAATGGCCTCTCAGATGTCAAAAAGATTAAAAGGACTTTCTCAATACTTGACCATTTTAAACAACAAGATTTTAAAGTGTACACATGCTTCTTTTCCCTAGTTATTTAGTAAATATGTGTCTTAGTTATGAATTCTGTCCTTCAAACGGTCTTCTCAGAACAAGAGAGTTAACAAACGCAAGGCTGGAGCAAATTGTCACATCTGTTTCATAATTCGTTGTGCTGCAAAATGTATTAATTAATACCAGCGTTTGAGTTCCTTATGTAAAAATGTAATGCGAGTTACTTTTTAGTTTGATTAATTTGCTTTAAAAAAATCAATTGCTGAATTAAAATTGATGTTGAATCACACAGTCAATGAGAGAATTTTCTCTCTGCAGAAACGAGCAGAAACCAAAATGGCAGAGCCTTACATTTCTGCGCTGGACGTATTCTCATTATCCTTAACACATGGAAGTAAAAGGAGATTGTCTCAATGCTCATTTTACTTCACTAATAAGACAAAAAGTACAAACCTGTAAGTTGCAAACACTTTGCTTCAAACTTTCATTAATCTGTATAAACGGCACGTACAGCTCTGGCCTCAAGAAGTTCTCAGAAGTTAACATTATCCTAAATTATTATTATTTGATGTGTTTTTTAAAGGTAAACAAAGTTTACAAAGTTATACAGTGTGTTGTTAATTGCAGAGCTTCTCTGTTAAAAAAAAAAAAAGAAAAAAGGCAAGTAAAATGAATGTAAAAGTAACGTAAAGCATTACTTTCCATAAAAAAATTAAGCACAACTAGTAATGCAATGTTATGCACTGTAAAACCCAACAGTCAACTTTATCAAGAGTGTAGTTAACTCAAAATAAAGGTTAATTCTACTCATTTGAAAAGAGTTTTGAAGGCAATGAGTAAATTAAATATCTTATTACTTCAACTTAAATACTGTAAGTTCACAGTACTATGGATTAGTTTAACTCAAATGGTTTGTAGCAATCGTTTCCTCAAATGGTTTGAGTTGCCTTAATTTATTAGGTTTTACAGTACTCAGTTGGTTTGAGTCATCTTCATTTATGGGTTGTACTGAGCTCAAATTACTTTGTTTACTCAAATGGATCAAGTTCACAGTACTCATTAGGAATATATTTGAACTTAAATGGTTTGTTGAAATTGTTTTTTTTTACGGTTATCTAAACTTTTTGGGTTTTACGGTGTACTAGAAACGTAATATCATAACGTACACTTTCAGAAGTAACTTTCCCCAACACGGATTAATACAATTTCTGTTATTGAACGCAGTGGTTCACTACTTTACATTTCGGCAGTTTTAATTTGTTTCATAATGCTTGTTTTATTGATCGCTAATGATAAAATAGAGACAAAATAAAATAACATCAATTCATTTATTTTCCTTCAGCTTAGTCCCCGATTTATTGGGAGTCACAACAGTGGAATGAACCGTCAACTATTCTGGCATATGTTTTATGGATGCCCTTCCAGCACTGTGCTAAAAACTAAAATAACAATATAACATTTCACAATATTAATATATTAATATAACAATAGATGCACTAAATAAATATTAACAGCATCTTCCATTATGATATTTAGAGCGGTTTAAATTTCCCATCAGAGAGAGAAAATTCTATTTATCCTACAGTTGAAGTCACAATTATTAGCCCTCCTATTATTTATATATATATATATATATATATATATATATATATATATATATATATATATATATACACACACACACACACACACACACACATATACACACACACATACATACATATACGTACATATATATTTTGCAAATGATGATTACCAGAGCAATGAATGAACTCCTATATAATTTGTTTTGCTAGAGAAAATCATATTTGTTTCATTTCGGCTTCAATAAAAGCAGTTTGACATCAATATTATTAGCCCCTTTGAGCATTTTTTCTTAAATTGGCTATAGAACAAACCATTCTTAAATAAAAACTCGCCTAATTGTCCTAATTAACCCAGTTAAGCCTTTTAAATTGCACTTTAAGCTAAATACTAGTATCTTGAAAAATATCTAGAGAAATATGATGTACTGTCATCATGACAAAAATAAAAGAAATCATTACATTACTTATAATTATTAGAAATTAGTTATTAAAATATTGTTTAGAAATGTGTTTAGAAATCTCTGTTAAACAGAAATTTGGAATATATATATATATATATATATATATATATATATATATATATATATATATATATATATATATATATATATATATATATATATATAGGGGCTAATAATTCAGACCTCAAATCTATCTATCTATCTATCCATCCAAGTGTGACAACTTGCCCCGGTCTCCACTGCAGCATACTCTCTACACACTCACAATTGCTCTCAACAATACCGGAGCAGCTGCTCAGGTTGTAGGTTCAAACCCCAGAAGGGCAGATGAACTATCCACTGTTGTTTCTGAGCCAGTTCATGAATCAAAAAACTAGCCAGCAACCATGTGCCTTTGATTAAGACAGTTAACCTCGTGCTGTTCTGACAGGACCGAACCTGAAATGACTGACCCAAAGACGCTGAAAACACCAATTAGTAAATGAGCAGCCAATATAAAGCGCAACGCGTCCGTGCGCTCCGGTAACCGGTCACCGGTAACCAGTGCGCGCAGCGCGGCTCCATCTGTCACACATTCATCCGAAACGAAAAATAAAAAACATGCATTTCCCAAACGTACACGTATCCACATGAGACACATCTAGCCAGCACACATCAGTGAGCATCTGTCATCCTTCACAGCCATATAACATGTCGTTAGATGCACCATGAAGTGCCTGTGGATATATTATAAGCGCATGTTTCCGCTTTAATAAGTTTGATGTGTGCTCGTGATGTGTACGCATATTATACATGCAGCCTGCCGCTTGATAAATAAACATAAAATAAGCAAAATAGCTGATCTTACCTTAAGGATGCTTGTTTTAAATGTCAGCAGGAGATTCCTGTGTCTTATGTTGGTGAAGGTCTGAGAGACAGACACGCGCTTGCATAGAGAAGCGCGTAGAGTCTCTCTCTCTCTCTCTCTCTCTCTCTCTCTCTCTCTCTCTCTCTCTCTCTCTTCCATTATCATCTTCTTCATCTCTACAGCTCTTGGATATGCGCGTGCACTGCACACCTAAAATAAAAATTAGCTATATGTCTTAGCTATATTTAGGGCGGGGGTAGATATAGAAATCAAAACTTAACCGTAAAATTCACAATTAGAATACAAGCACTGCGTGAGACATTTAAAAATCTTGTCGTGTTTAGTTATTTGGCGAATATTGCTATAAATACGATTGTATCCAACTCATTGCCGATTCGGTGTTTTCTTCCAAATAACAAACAGACAAACAAAAACAAACAAACTAAATTACAATTTCCGTCAAACTGAAGACATCTTGGCATTTGATGACCGTTAGATGGCGCCAATTAGCCGTTAAATCCTCTGACGTAACATCTCTGTTCTAACGTTTTCTAAAATTTGAATCTCTTTTAAACTAATTCACAAATTCCACCCGGTTAAACTTTTTCTCAGTAAATTTAAAAGGGATATTGATATACATTGTTTTTTGCATTTGGAAACTGTATCCTACATCTTTTGGCACTGTGGTTATGTTTAAAAGCTTTGGTATGATTCTTCCGTTTTCATAAAGAAAAAGGTAGGCCCTACTCTATAATTTTAATCTGCATTTTGAAAACGTATTTTTTGGATATTTTAATTATGATAATTTGAATAAGGAAGTTTTTGTTATTAACCTAGCCTATTTATTTTGTTAATTAAGTTTCATATTCATAAGTGTAAATTTTCCAACAAAAAATATTTTTTTAATACTGTGTTTTATAAGAAACTAAAAAATTACTTTTGCACTATTCCGCATAGTGCTAATCGAAAGGCCATTAAAACTGTCCAACTGTGCTCTAGTTTCAATATTTTAATTCTCCAAAAAAAAAAAATAATAAAATTGCAAGAACGAAATCATATTGGTCAGATTAAATCACAATCAACAAAGCAAATCTTTAAATTGAAATTCTTTATTAACAAACAAAACATTTTAAATCCTCTCCCACATTGGCTCATCTTTTAATTGAAATTGATTCCTTGCTTAAAGCTATACGTTTACCTAACAACCAAAAATTCTGCAAGATAATAAACTTATGAAAATATCATGCTTCCAGTAAGTTAGTAGATGCTTTCTGTGTTTGTTTAATTTTGCATGTCCCCTTTCTTTATTTTGTTCTCCACTTTTCTCTCTTATTTGTTACTTGTTCTTATCACTTTGTAATTGTATGCACTTGTATTCCAGTCTCTTACAGATGACTTCCTGGTTTATATTGTACATTTCTTCTTTTTAAAATAAAAGTTTATTTAAAACAAACAAACAAACAAACAAACAAACAAACATTTGAATTCTAAATAATAGTAATAATAATAATAGTACAGAATATCCAAATAATTAATAACTGTTGTTAAACACCTAAAGAGTCGCAGAATATTTCTGTTTAATGCTGTATGGAGGTGGATGTCACTTTTTGTTTAAATACATTTATTTTGTTCTCCTGTTTTTGATAGAGAGGGAGCAAGGTAAGATCTTTGTTTTTATTTCTTTTTAATGTTATTTTGAGAGTTTAGAAAGTTGCTTCCTCAATCAGTAAGACCTTTTGTTTGTTGTTTAGGCTGTATCCCCTCCTGAGTATGTTTGACCATTTGTTATTTATTATTTGTTAATTTGTAAGTAAATATACTTGGTTTTGTGTATTGGATTTGGTGTGATTTATTGTTAAAGAGCTGGGACAGAAGAGTGATGATTGTTTTTTTGCCTTCACCTTTAGTTTTTGGTTTTTTAGTTATATTTTCTATTATCAAAAATTCCCTCCAATTTTATAATTTGGCTAAATCTAATTTGTTCATTTTATTTTTTCCCCCTTTATGTTAAATTGTTGCTTGTTTCCATGGCCCTAGATAGGGGAGGCACGTAACAACACAATTATTTATATTCAGTTTACTTTAAATATTAGCAATATTTCCTCAGTAGTTGGCTCATTTCTTTTTTATTCTGCATAGCACAGTATGCTTATGTATTTACTTGTTTGTTGGATAAACACATTTGAATCTATTTGCATTATCATTCATTTATCCATTTGTTACTTATTTGCATTGTTAGAAATGAAGTATTTTTTTTCTATAAAAACATTTTTTATGAAAAAAAAAAAACATTTTTATTTAAAAAGTTCTCAAAACTACACTCAAAATTCTAAAAACTATTTTGTTGGTTTGGTGTCCAACAGTGTGGCTTGCTTGTAACACCCTGTTACAACTAACCCAGCTGTGTCATGTTTTCCTCAAAACTGGCTAGCAGTCACAGTGTGTGTTTTACATCTTTCAAAATGGTTTAATTTTTTTAGCCAAGAAGACGGTGATCACAACAATACGATTTTTTTCGTTCATACTTTCACAGATTTTTTTTTAAATAAAAAATATTGACTATATTAAAAATACTTTTATGCTGCAAAAATGGTTTATCCTGTGTTTCTCATCCAAATTTTGCCAAATTTTTTTTTTAATAATTGGCAGGAAGACGTCTGCTGACAGTGTGGTGAAAACCTTGAAAGCATGCCATGGTTAATCCTGAGCAAATACCTTAAAACTTTGTTACATTTAACCCCGCGTTACTTTGTGCCCCGCGCTCCCCTAATGAATGTGGAAAGACGCTTCAGAGGACTTGGGTTAAATAACTACCCTCAAACTATTTTTTTCCCTCTCCTAATGAATGCTTTGAAGAGTTTTGGGTGAATGACTTCAAGAAAAACATGACAATTTTCATTTTGGGGTGAACTGACCCTTTAAAATTATAAACCTATTAAATCAACCACACAAAACACCTCAACAACCACATAACACTGCCTGGCAACCTAATGGAGGGTTTATCACACACATACACTACCTGACAAAAGTCTTGTCGTGGATCCCAGTTGTAAGAGCAACAAATTTTAACTTGACTTCTAGTTGATCATTTGGAAAATTGAATGATCTGTTGAACTGCATCCAAATCCTCACAAATACTGCAGCAAACCTACTGGAACCAGCATGAAGCCAAGATTCTCACAGAAATCAGTCAAGTTTGGTGAAAAATAAATCATGGTTTGGGGTTACATTCAGTATGGGGGCGTGCAAGAGATCTGCAGAGTGGATGGCAACATCAACAGCCTGAGGTATTAAGACATTTGTGCTGCCCATTACATTACAAACCACAGGAGAGGGCAAATTCTTCAGCAGGATAGCGCTGCTCCTCAAACTTCAGCCTCCACATTAAAGTTCCTGAAAACAAAGAAGGTCAAGATGCTCCAGGATTGGCCAGCCCAAGCACCAGATATGAACATTATTGAGCATGTCTGGGTAAGATGGAGGAGACATTGAAGATGAATCCAGAGAGTCTTGATGAACTCTGGGAGTCCTGTAAGCGCTTTCTTTGCCATTTCAGATGACTTTATTAATCAGTGATTTGAGTCATTGCAGAGATGTATGGATGCAGTCCTCCAAGCTCATGATGGAGTCAGACACAATATTCATTCTGTTTCCACTGCAGCATGACTTTATATTCTATATTGGACATCATTTCTGTTAAGTGACAAGACTTTTGTCTAAGCAAAGTCAGACCTTACTGTCCTAATTAAATCATTAATAATCAAGGCATGATGATACTTTATTGTGGTAAAATAAGTGTAATCTAGAGGCCTTTACCTTTCATATAAGCCACTTATGATACCAAATTATAAACTAAAAGTCAAGTTGTTATTTGTTGTTCCTTAAACTTGGATAGGCGACATTTGTCAGGTAGTGTACTGACATTGGCTTGAGAAAATGTCTTCTGATCCAACATCACCATGCAACAGTATTTTAAACAGATTGTTTGGTTTGCAAAAACTAATGCTTCATTTCATTGAAAGATAAAGTTATTGAATGATCAGAATTACAAATATGCACTCACTCACACACACACACACACACACACACACACACACACACACACACACACACACACACACACACACACACAATATGTTTATATTCCACAGCAACATGAAATGAAATCACATTCTTATTATCATTACTGTTCCACAAATTATCTGGCCGTGATGCTTACAGAATACTCAACAGTAATTTTAATACAAGACAGAAAGCTGTTCCTCTAAATAAATAAAATATATTTATTTTCCCCAAATTTACAGATGTAATGCAGCCATAAATGTTTAATAAACTCGAGGGGAAAATGCAGCTCTGTTTTTTCAAGGCTGTATTAAGGTGAAGTTTAAATTCTGCCATACATTAACTCCAAGGCTTAGCTCAGGGTGTTTTATAACACCTTAACTTAAATCTGCATACTAATTATCATAATCATTCCACAAATTAGCGGCCTATAACACTCATAGAATAATTCTCAACAGTAATTTAAACACAAGTAGGAAAGTTGGCTCTATTTGTAGATTTTATAGGGGTCATAAATGTTTAATAGTTTGGATGCATATTCCGGATGTTGCTCTTTTTCTGTTTAGCCAAAATTGAAGCATAATTGCCTTTTAATTGGCTTGAAGTTTATAGTCTGTCACAGAGGAAATTGCTTGGGAGTTTTGCTGCAGTATATCCAGAAGTTTATGTTGAAAACTTTTCAGTATAAGTACTGTATATTTTTTAATACCTTATTATGTCTTTCAATTTCAAACATGTCTATTACAACTACACCAATAAACATGTTCACTAAAGACATATTTTCCCAGACAGTGATTCCTCATGTTTACATTTACAGCACTTTCTTTCCCTAAACCTTTTCCATTTTTATTACTGTTATGATACAGCACCAACATGCAATTATTCATTTTCAGCATAGTCCCTTATTTGTCAGAGGTTGCCACAGCGGAATGAACCGCCAACTGTTTTGTTTTACACAGCGGGTGCCCTTCTAGCCACAACCCAGTACTCAAATTCACACACTATGGCCAATTTAGTTAATCCGATTGACCTATAGCA